AATCAGTCACAAGAATGTCGAATCTGAATCACTTGAAAAAAACACGGGGGTGCTTAACTTTTTTCCAGGTGTATAGTTTTGCTACTAAGAGTGGTGGACTCATCTATCAGAATAGCTATTTTTCCTTATATTTCGAGGATCCGTTTGCAGACTCTCGATCTTATTTCTTGTGCAACATGATCAATTATATTAGTAGCTCTAAATCGCGAATGCAAATCTTGTGGAATTTCTGTGCCATTTATTTCTTGCAACTGCAAAAAATAAAAATAGTTAAAAATATGGTTTATCATTTATGGCTATATGCAGTTCTAAAAAAAAATGCAGTTAGTCTCTACTTCAGATTTGTTTAAACGGTCCATAATAGTTTCAATTTGTTGTTCCCTTGCGCTCTGAACAATTTTTCGACATTGTTGTGTGACTGTTTCTTTGAATGAAATATATATTTTTTCTTAAGGATGTTAGTTGCACTGACCATGTGCTGCAGTCGAAAGGAACTGAAACTGTACTCCATTCTTTGGAAAAACTGGCACCTTGTGAAAGTTATGGTTTTAATAAGCCTAGATTTGTTGTCACACTATGGCATGCTGCACATCTGATGTTTCCGGAATCACTCACATGCCATAAGTGAGCCTCTTTTCTTATCTTCCCACATATCAGCAGTCCAAACTTAAGGTCACGCAGACTTGGGTTCATCATTTTTGCATTCAGTTTTTTGTTGTCCTGTCAGTTGATGTATCACTAGAAGTAGCTTGTGTAATTACTTCTACGCATTTAATACCATTTACGCAATCACTTGCACAAGTTGCACTTCCGTTTCTTCTGTTAGTTTTGTTTTTAGTGAAAATTATTGCAGGGATGTTTGTTTACATTTTACACTCATTTTTTAAGGCCACGATGTATTTTTGAGATAAAAGAAAGTTTAATTAAATAAACAGATTATTGGGCAACCACAGCCTAACAATACCTGCATTGAGCCTCGGTTCTCAGAATGCCACAATATAATTTCACCAGTTATTTCAGCCACGTAAAACACATACAATAATACAGTCTTCCACCAGTGTGAAGAGGCCAGACACTGTTGAACTTACAGTTCCCTAAAGAATAATCTGCTTCTAAAGTGATTAGCAAGAAGGCTAAGTTAGAAATACTAGCTAAACCAAAACAGGCCGTATTTATATTACTGGAAACTAAACATTTATTGGTTACTGTGTAAGTATGGTAAAATAGAAAACAGGATGTTCATGAGCTCTTACACACTTTTACACCTATACCACTAAATTCTGACCACCTCGTGAGGATAACTAACATTCAACTACCTAATAAGTTTATTGGATCAGACCAGACTTTGTACAGAGCCATATCGTAAATATTTTCTCTCACTTTTAGTTAGTACTTTAGACAATGCTCGTTCAATCACTATACTACAAAGAAGCCGATAAACCCTACCCCACTGTGTTTTAGAAGCCGAGAAAATTCTGGGAATTGCGCGCATGAGCATATTTGCTGTCGATTGTGTCACGTAAACAGTGTAATGCCAAGAGTGTTTATTCCTTGCTTTAACATAAACATAGGAAATAGGTGGGAAAAGATTAGAAGTAGAAATTCTCAGGAGAGTTACTTTGGAATTTCGTGGTCCACACTGAAAAGTCCCAACAGTAATATTAATTTTGTTTTGTCAAGTTTCTAAGTTAGCTGTTAACAGTATAATAACTACAGAAAATAAATATGAGAAGTACAAACTCTGACCATAAGTTCTTTGGAAATTTGTGATTGTAAGGTCGGATTTGTTCGAAATAATGAGGGAGCAACATTCAGGCTAAAACAGGGATAAGGAAGCGCGTTCCCACACGACTGGTTGATTGGTTAAAAGCTCACCATTAAACGTGAAGTAAAAATACGAGTCTTAACAAGTTTCCAACAACGCGATTAAATTCCTGTATGGGTTGCCTAACGTTTACAAAAACAATATTTCGTTAAGACTTATTTTATTCAGCATCGGTTCCCATACTTATAAATTGGCTAAATTCCTTGTTCCTATTTTAAATTCACTATCTTTCAACGAGTTTACAGTTAAAGATTTTTTTTTCCTTTGCACAAGAAATTTCTAAAATTACTACTACTGATCAATGTAGTATATACTTTCCAGTTTCGACATTGAATCTTTTTTCACTAATATTCCACTCGGGAAAACAATACAAATAATCTTAAAAACACTTTTCTCCCAACAAAAAATAAAATACACAAACTTCAACAGTTTAAAGAATTACAAAACTTGCCGTCAAGGATAATTACTTTGTCTTCAACCGTCAGCTATTTGACACAACACATGCCGTGGCAATAGGGTCACTTTTAGGGCCGAATAACATATTCCTTTGTCACTATAAACGTTCTTGGTTAGACACCTGTCCTTCTGAGTACAAACTGGTTTTATATAGAAGGTATGTTGATGATACATTTTTACTATAACTACATAAAACAATTATTGGACTATTTAAATTCGAAACACCCTAACATTAATTTTACTTGTGAAACTGGAGAATAAAAAAAAATGGTAAATTGCCTGTTCTTGATATACAAATCAACATATTAGATAACCAGTTTACAACACCTGTTTATAGTAAGAAAACATATACAGGCTGAAATACTCGTTTCGACAGTTTTATTATGGCCTTGTTATATGATAGTTAGTCTTCTCAATAGAGCATATAACATCTCTTCTGACTACTTTCTATTTATACCGAAATAACCACCTTACAGAATATTCTATTAAACGGCTATCCTTTGCATTTTACAAGCCCTATCATACAAATTCTTTTCTAACAAAATTTAACTCCCAAAGAAACCGTACACTGTAGATAAACACCCATTAAGACTGATCGTACTTCTTTTTTAGGTAAACAAAGTTTCATACTAAAATCACAAATTTTGAGAATAATTAAACATTTTATCCAAAGGCTAGACTACAAATGGTACTTAAATCGTATTTCAAGATTCAAAATAAATTTAGGTCCAAAGACCCATTACCTACTCCTATGCGTTCCAAGATCGTGTGTAAATACACATGTGGTTGCTTTAATGACACTGACATTGGCAAAACTATACGCCAATTACACCTACGAACATATAGGAGTATCAAGTAGAACTGGTAAACAACTATCAAACCTTCCTGCTCCTCAATTAGCATAAGTACTGAATACAACAACATCCCAACTTCGTTAAAAATTTCAAAGTTATCTCATCTTGACCCAATATTGAACTTTAAATTAAAGAAAGTTTATGTATTGTAAATGAACTCCCAACTTTAAATAATAACTATATCGCTACAATCAAGTCTGTTTTGAATAACCTGTATAATTTCACAAATATAATGTAGTATTTTTGCAATTGTAGCACTATGATATTCTTTTTATTTTAAATAAATTTCATCCTTATATTCTGTATTCTAATTCATATTTAGAAAATGTTGGAGCTTTAGAAATTTATGTACTTAATACTTCTTTACCTTGTTCAATGTAGCTTGCTGAAGATGGAATATGTATATTCCGAAATTTTCAAGAATTAAATAGTTGTTACCGTCACAAACGTATCAAATATTTGTTGTTGCCGCCGTACTGTCATTCATTATTAAACTTCATTACCGTCGAATGAATATATTACTATTTAATTTAATGTTATGTATCATACTAATTTTTCACTTCGTGGATCTTAATTGTTAAGTTAGTAAGATTTATTTTCTGAACGTCACATGTGAATTAGCTATTAAACTTAATCACCTTAACCAGGTCAATATACTTCCAAAGTGTTACATTAAACTGCTAACAGACTATATAATACAAATACACACATAAAAAAGGAAAGGACTAAATACATAAATGCCCCCTAATGGCACAGCGATATGTCTGCAGACTTACAACTAGAGAAACCGGGTTTAGCTACCCGTAGTGGGCAGAGCACAGATAGCCCATTGTGTAGCTTTGTCCTTAAACTACAAACAAACTAAATAAAATAGGAAAACAAAGAATACCTGCCCCTTTTTAGAAAGAGACTGTCTAACATAATATGCCACTAACCACATAAAAATAGTACAACCCTTTAACATAGAAAAATACATGATTAAAATAAAATCCTTATGAACACCAATCAAATGCCCCCAGTGGCACAGCGGTATGTTTGCGGATTTACAACGTTAGAATCCGGGTTTCGATACCCGTGGTGGGCAGAGCACAGATAGCCCATTGTGTAGCTTTGTGCTTAATTATAAACAAACCAATTAAATTGTATTTGGTGAAGCATAAACAAAGTATATTATAATATTTGAAATAAAAATTGCATACAGATATAAAATGTGAAAATAAAACTTTAACTAATGCGTAAAATTCATGATACACATAAAAGCAACATAAAAACCCATTTCAAGAAATAAAGTAATGAAAAGATTAAACAAGCTTAAGTTTATAAGAAATAACCTTCAATTGAATAAAAAATGATATAATTGATTTTTTTTTACATTAGTATTAGACCTATTATATCTAAGATTGCATTCTATATCTAGTCCCTTAGGAATTTTCAAGAATTAGAAGAGTGTATAATATTAGAATTCAAATCACATAATAACCACTGCCGATGATGGGTTTTGCTTAATCCATAGTTCATCAGGTTGGCTGGAACAAAACAAACACAGTAGTGGATATTGTGAACATAGTGTGATTGGTATACTATTATTTCTTGAAAATCCCTAAGAGTCTATATGAAAAATGCATTGTTAAAAATGGGATAGAATTAATACTATTATTTAATAACAAGTAAATTAATTATAATCATATTTCGTCAGCTTGAAAAAGACATCCAAACTATAACTGTTGCTGTAACAAGTGAGATATATAATATATAGTGTTCCTCTCACATGTACAAGGTCTAACCATCTGTCCAATTGGCAGCCACCTTTTGACAGTGTCTTTTCAGCACTGGAATCTGCTCTAACATAGGCCAATGGTCTTAAAGGTGCCTGAACTACCCCACCTTCCCAAGACTTAGTTGGCCTTTGAGTGAATACAAGCTTCAGGAAAGGTTTTCTTTGGCTTTGGAATAAAGATTCCTTTGAAGGTGGAAACGCATCTGGTGTTGTCGCTGGTTCATGATCACTCATCCTTTTATAAGACATCACTGGGCTCCAACCCTTCTCAGATTTCTCTTTCTCGTCCTCAGGTGGAAACAACAAAGGCAACTATGACAGAAGTTGAGCTAACTGCAGGCTCGGCTTCACTTGGCATAGATGATGGCGTTGCTGCCAATGCAGTACTCTCTAACACCAGGATATCTTCAGGCATAGCATCCACAGAGTCATACACTGCTGATGATGGCTGACTAGATGCTAGTGAGCCCAGAACATGTCCACCAAGGTGAGCTCCCCCATATTTGATATGTTGGCCAGCAACACATCTTTGTCCATGGGCTTGATCATGGTGAATGTCAATCAATCTAGTCTCAAGAGCCACAGGTTCTGCAATATTTTCTGTACCCTCGGGTACCTTGAGAATTGTTGACAAGGGGAGAGATATACAATTTAATTTGTTTAAACTAATGGGTGGTTGCACTATTCTGTTAATCAACCATAATCGTAACTACAATTATAGGAAAATAAATGTAGAAGGCCCAATTATTATTAAGCAAGGAGGCTCATGTTTTGTAGTTGTGCAACCGGTCTTGAGTATCCTTGAGGAACGTGGGAGCTTCAATAGATGATGGTAAATCTATGTCAAAAGAGAGAAGGCTTCAAGAGTAATGGATACTCTGTAAAAATGAGGCAAAATAAATAGTCAATGAGAGAGACTGACAATGGCTCAAACTTGATCTTAAATTATGAAAGTCCAGATTGAACTGCAAAGTTGAATGATCTTTGATTAGTCAAAAAATAAGCCAAGTGCATGTAGTTATGACTTCAGGTATTGGTCAAATGCCATTCCTATCGATGTGTATTCACACTGTTATGTATTAGAATTTCGAATAGTCCGAAGCCGAGTTAACTGATAATTTAAATTTAGTAGTTAACTTGTACTTTGGATTTAGTATTTAGATGTATGCCGATGTATCGGTCAATATACGATAGTTGCCAACAAGATTGATACACACCGTCTTCGTTTTAACACAAATATGTTTTAATATACACACAACAGTACAATTTACAGTAACAATTATTACAAATAGTTATTACAAACAAAGATTTATAAACAAACGTTTCACAAACTTACACACAATATAAAGTCTTCTATCTAGTTTGGAACTCCCTTAATATCTTATCGAAAGTTTACGATGAGCGAGTTAATTACAAGTTGATGTAAGTACGATTCCCCGGGAAGCTTGCTAGCTTTGTCCTTGGCCACACACACTAGGTTTTCCACGGTTGAAGTTAGATAATATTTTCATAAGAATATTAATGTCCAATGAGAATCTTTTGAAGTTAAATTATTTGTAAATTTCGAACTTTGTAAAGGTTCCTGGTCAAGTATCTAAAGTTTTCCGATTGATAACGTTACAAAAATCAAAGTTATAGCTTTCGAAGTTTATAGCACACTTATTATAGCAAACTACTAACAGACACTCTCCTTTAGGCGCATCGCGTTGGTTGTATTTATAGGCGTGGGAAGGTTTTCTAGAAAATTCAGATTACATAACAATACTGAGCTATATTTAAACGTTTACATATATAGATATATATTGTTGATCCCTACTCTCGAGAATCTTCTACAACTTTGGAGAATAGGCGGAAGTTTCCGATACATATCTAACACTACAACCTATGCATGTTTTTAAATATAAACTTAATCTAAACAACGTTGATATTAAAATAAATACATAACAACAAATTCGTTACAACACACTTTATCACTGGCAGAACACATATCCTCAGAAACTGATAACTTCTTAATCCCCTGACTTCTGCAAATCTCTACTTGACCAATTACCTGTGACTTTGTTGTCCGTTATAGACAACTAGAACACACGCCGTACTCTCCAACACAGACTCATTCTTCATATTACCAACTGATTGTCACACAGACAGTACCCAGTTCCAGTAGGAAGAATGGGATCAATACTGTGAAAGGTTCCTATACAGTTAAGCTGACTTGTGTCAGATGACACTAGCCATCACATTTGACCGTTAGCCTTTATCAATTCTTCCATTGTCCTTTCTTAGGGACTTCTTTTCATTTATAATTTGTGTACTGGCTTTTGATGTGATTTACAATGTTTTCACTGTATAGGTGTTATTTTCCACCTTCTCAGTAATACACTTACAAACAGCATTTTCGTGCTTTAATACTGAATCTTGTAATGAAACAATGTTAAGAAAATATTTATTGAAGCTGTGTGCTTATTATAAATATTTCAATCTGTATGACTGAAAATGTTCCTATCACAACCCAATAAAACAATTATATACACCAAGTGTATACATATGTCATGATATCTAAGCCATTTTCTGTAAATTTCATTTACTATTGATATTGATAATTTCACCCACTCAATCCAGTTGAAACATTTTTCTACTTTTAATGAGAAACAATAGGCAGGATTATGTTATTTAAACCACAGGTAAAACCGCTTTTAAAATCCACGGGTCAAACTGCATTTTTCTTTCTATTTCAGCCATTGTGCGAGTCTTTTTTTATATTTTATATTTTCCATTAACACGGTAAAGAAGATTTTTGTATTTAAATCAACATTCAACAATTCAGTAAGGTATATAAAGTTTAAAATTGATAGTGCATATCAATCCACGTGAATTGAAGGATTATTTATTTATGACCCAATAAAAAACTAAAGGTCTTAACTATGCAATAACTCACCTCACCATTCCAGTGTTAGATTTATAAACCAGCTTTGAAAATCTTTGCAGGAAAGTAATGATACAATCAAATCATAAATCCAATCAACAGTAACTAATCCCAAGTCCAAGACCTCAAGAATAATCTGTGTCTAATTCACCATAGAACAATATATAATCACAATAAATATTAAACATTTAAAAAAAATAAGAACAATTCAATCCCTACCAAACCAAATGCAGGTCACTAAAACTTTACAGAAGAAATTATTGGAAAAAAAAAACAACTTCAGAAATACTAAACAATAAGAAGAACATAAAGCAAAATTTTAAATCAGCAAAAGAAAAAGGCATAAAACTTCTTAGAAACAACGAAGAGGTTGTCATCCAAAGAACCGATAAAGGAAACTATCGTGATTCTCCCAACCAAATATTATGATTCCTTAACGGTAAATATATTAAATGACATGTCTAAATTTACTCAGTTAATTACTGACCTTAACCCAACATACAACAAAAATTTAGTAAACTATTTAAAATATTATTAAAAGAGAAAAAAAGATTATTACATTTAAACTTTATAATTTTTTTTTGCCTACATACCAACGAAGAAAACCAGAAATATATGGTTTACCGAAAGTCCATAAAAACCCAATAACTTTACTCCCAGTTATGTCTTTTTATAACTTTTTCAAATTACACCCTTGGTAAATACTTCAATTGGATTTTGGAGATTCATGTCTCCAAAATTAGCACCAAATTTAAAAACACAGACATAGATTAGACATAACGTCATTATGTCTAGATTTGATTTCATAAAGCTATTCCCTAAACCCTTTCTCATGAGACAATACAACTTACCGCAGAAATTATTTCACAAGACCCATAAAAAGAGAATCAATATAAAACAGGAACACCTAACGGAACTGTTACAACTAGCCACATTTATTTGTTTTTAATATGGAGATTTATAATTCCTTATCTTACATAAACTTGCCACGGGAAATCAATTATCAGGCAATCTGGCCACTCATTTCTTACATCACATGGAACAACATGTCATAGTTACATTTTATATAAGCCTGTATTTTGACTTAGATACGTATATGATGTTTTTTGCGGCTTTACTAGTCAAGATGAACAAAATAAATAAAGTTTCTTCAACACATAAACAACCTACACAAAAACATAAATTTCACAGTTAAAAAGAACATTTTAAACGTTAACATCGCACGACCCCCTTCTTCCCCACACACTAAAATTCAAAGAATAAACACATACAGTGGAAATTACCTAAACTGATTTTCTAATCGTGTATTAATCGCACTAGTAATTGAAATTTTGTACTTGTTTTAATAATATTCTTTCTTGCTGTAAAAATTGTACCTCTTTTAATAATATTCTTTCTTGCTGTAAAAGTTGTAACTTGTAATAAAATATTATTTATAATCAGTAAGTGAACTTAAAAAGAAACTGTACTCACTTATGTTTCAGGCTTCACAAAATAAATGATTACCATCAAAATTATGACAAATTAAGACTTTTTGCCTAAAAGTCTAACTAATTAGGATTAAAATTCATGCTATTACCACTGTACCTTAATGCTCACTTCATTGTACTTTGTAGAACCAACATGATTCCCAGGTAAATAGATATAGGTGTGGTTCTCTCAAAACATCGGATGACATTTTGCATCATAAATTTTACTCTGTGGCAGAAGAACCAAGGATCACTGATTTTCCAGTTACATGAGTGTCCTAGCTGTCAACTATAAAGATTTAGTCACAAAATGTAGTCCACACATTTTTGTTATACGACACTAAATCTTGGAAAAAGAGGGTTGCAAAGCCTTTCAGCTGTTGGCTTTGATAAAACAACTGTCCTAAACGTTGTGAATCGAATGGCAATCCTAATATGTATAGTACCTAAATCACATCACAATACCAAAGGATAACCTCAGAAAATAAGTGTTACAAAGTCCTTTCAGCCATTTGTTCCTCGCCCTGATGATTGTCTAACTTCATAATAAAGTGGAATCACACAGTGTTGTGCACACATTACACAGTATGTATAACGTGATGGCTTGGAAAGTGAGGAACACCACTTCCTTTCGTTCCTTGGGTATTTGACCTCTCAATATAACATGAACATAGTTCCTCGTTTCACTACTTGGGATCTTGTAAGTCTGTCTTTCGACTATCAGATTATCCCAACTTTGGATAGTACAATAGTACCACAAAATGTAGTCCATGCATTATTTTGGGCAAATTATCCGCTAGCTCATAAAAAACGTATGCTACTACTTCTTTCCAATCATAAGATGCTCGAAAAAATTACTGTTTTAGCTGGAAAGTAAGGATCGTAACCCCCTTTCATTGAGCAGTCTTTCAACTACTTCACCATCTTAGATATAAATGTCTGGTGCCTCTGTATCCAGCAACTCCTTATCTAGTTCATTGTAAACTACTAGATAAGTTTCCTCAGCTCTTTCTCCCTCATTAAGTTAGTTGGTATGACTCGAGATAACATAATGTCCTCTTCTGACTCATTGGTCAGAAGCATCCTCAGACTCCTGGTCAAGCCAGTTTACAAAATGCTTGTCATTTATGACATATTAATGCAGCATATTGATGTGTTCAACATACTTTCTTATGCCTCGCATCTGCTGTAACTCATATGTTAATGAACCAACTTGTCATAGTATCAGTTAATTCTATAGAAACGACGCCATTTTAAACCCTTTTTTTAAACCTGTCATGTGATCTGCTCGCGGTTACATTTCTCAATTTTAAGAGCTCTGATACAAGAAACTATGAGCAGCTAACATAGACTGTTACCTTATACAGTCGAAGTCCACCATATCGATGTATTTTATTAACGTCTGGAAACGTTCCAAGAATATCTCCCCATAGGAAACCATTGTATATTCTTTCTGAGTTTAAGGTCAGCCACACACACTTGCAAAGTCGAAGCTATTGTTACGACATCGAGGTCACGTGACTAGTATCACGCCACGTCATTCTCGAACTTTCACGTCTTTTCCTTACATCTCGTGATCCTTCTAGGTATAGTGTAGTCTTGTATATATAAGACCGGCCATGAAGCGACGGAGAAGTAATGAGTAATTGAACTGCAGTCAGAGAGTGTGTAATTGAACGAGTATTGTTGAAGTCGAGCACGTGAGACGTTCGTTGAGAATTATAGCGCGACTGTTGAAATTAAGTGTATCGCAAAGTTATATTCATAAAGAATAAACCAGTTTTATTTAAGAAAGGACTTGTGTCGCTAAAGTTTCGTCGGAACGAATTTACGGAAAATCAATTAACAAACGGAGACGTAAAATTATGTTGCTAAGCGACAGTTTGACTTTGAATGGCATGCTTATAACTAATAGAAAGAACAGATTTCCCGCTATTTAGTTAACTAGCGAAGAGACGTTACCAGTGTATGGATTTGTACATATAAGATAGAAAAGAAGCTTAGGCCATTGTTCTCTCCATAGCTTGGCAAGTGTTTTTCGCCTTATATTTATTAGTTTGCTGGACGGTTAGATTGCATTTAGGTTTTACGTCTATATCTTAATTAATTATGTATTATTTCTGTTTTAAAATGCATATTTGAAAGATCTAATTATTTTTATACATTTAACTTGTTGTAACTTGGATTGCTAAAGTGTGTAAACAAGATGGCGTCACTTGCGTGTGCGAGCATTAGTGAAAGAGTCTGTGCACGTGAGTCGCCGGGCCCGACATGGCCAGGTGGTTAAGACGCTCGACTCGCAATCTGCGGGTCGCGGTTTCGAATCTCCGTCCCACGAAACATGCTCGCCCTTTAAGCCGTGGGGGCGTTATAATGTGACGGTCAATCCCACTATTCATTGGTAAAAGAGTAGCCCAAAAGTCGGCGGTGGGTGGTGATGACTAGTTGCCTTCCCTCTAGTCTTACATTGCTAAATTAGGGACGGCTAGCGCAAATAGCCCTCTTGTAGGTTTGCGCGAAATTCAAGCAAACGTGAGTCGCAGTAAAATAATAATAGAGCACTACGAGGACCAGTTAACGTATCGGCATAAATAATAAAAGTCAAAGAATTGGAAAGGAAAATTCAAAATAAACTATAAGGGAAAAGATAAAGACGTGAATTTAAGAATATTAAAAAAAACAAGTTCCAAAAGACTTCTACAAAAAGGGCTAAAAGGTATGTATATATTTCCATAGTTAAATTTTAAACATTTCATTGCAATGTACTTGATGATTCAAGTTGCTTTCATGTTACTGAGGTGTACCACAACCTCCATACTGGAACATCAACTCCTTCAATATCTGATCCTAATGCTTCTTTTTAATCAGGACAGTGTTATCAGAGTTGTAGGACAAATTAGAACATGTAATCATGTACACTAGTGATATGCTCATGACTAATGGATGCAGATTCTGTAAGAAAAAGAAACTACTTGGAGTTGTTCTTGTAAAACACTTTTTACATTATTTGTATGGTAGGTGCTTTACTGAAATGATTGAGGAACTTTAAAAACCCTAAAATGATGAGCATGCTGGATAACAGCATTGCAGGATTTGCCACAACACGGTAACACAGACAAACTGCTGTGGTATTATAAGATAAACTGATTTCCTCATGAGAATTGGATAAGTCCGCTTCATTACAGAGGGATCAATCCGGAAACTTAGAGAGTAATCTGAATTTTAAAACTTACTGAGTTTTAATCTATGCGAGAAATAAGTAGACTGGACTTGTTTGATGGATAGTGACAACAATATTTACTATAACGCAGAAAAAAACTGTATATACTTGTGTAGACTCTCTGACAGTTGCCTCTATTTGATCTATGGTTAATTCATCAACTCCCCAACTTTCAAAACGAATCTCTGTAGTACTAAATACAGTTTATGTCTAGAAAAAAACCTTGTATAGTCTCTCTTATAATAACGTCACCACGTGACTTGTCTTTTCCCATAGCATACATCAGATGTAACTTACAGAAATCACCCACTTCGCCAGTGAAGGAAACTAGTTTTTTACAATTTCAACATGGATATGAGCAATGTTACTGTAATAAACTGTAGGGCATAGTGGATATTATCTGCTCCAGAGAAAAAGACAACTGGAATGAAACATTTCAATTTTTTGGACCACATATTTCTTCCAAAACTGCACAAAAATAGACCAAAACAAAAAATTCTAAAATACCTACATTACTAAAGATGGTATAAAAACAAATGATATGCTCATATACACTTTCTTACCAGGCAATGAGTCTTTGTACATTGTTTGATATTTGAATCATGGACATAATATGGAAGTTAATACCATTTCTGTTATAATAACGACAAGCCTTGCAGTAGGAGATTCTAGTAATGGATGGATGCCACTATTAACACTTTTGGAGTGCAATAAAGAGCAACTAAAGGACCCAAATGTAGCATAGGCACTCCCTACCATGCAGCAAGGTGAAGCTTATGTATAACACTTGTATGACTAATTACAAGTGTAGGAAGGTGTGCTGCATCACTGTTATTAACCATCGAGCAATGGTTCTCAGTCTGTGTGACATGTAATGGCTCACAAAGCTTTAAATCAAGAGATTTTCTAGATTTTGCATAATACAAAGACTGGAGGGTACTAAAATGTTACATGCACTTGTACTTATGTCTGACAGGAGATCTTTTTGTTGCAATCAGATTGAGACTTTCAGCACTGATATGAACACTGTACAGTGTGTGCCACCCAGAGAAAAATCTAGATAGAGTAAACTCCAGTAAAGAATTGTTGGTTCTCTTCTACAGAGAACAGCACTTAATATCACTGGTCCACTCCTGAAGACAGAAAGAGGTCACATTTATATACTTGTAAACATTGACTACTCGGCAAAGTGGGTCAAGGATTATTTATTGATCGATACTTCTGCACAGCCTATGGCCAATACACGGGTGGAGAAATGGATTGTCCAAGTTTGGAGTAGCTGAAGAAATGCACATGAATCAAGGGCTAACTTTAACAGCCAACTGTTATATTGAATTGTGTAAAGGGTTGGATGTGGTTAAGAAAAAATCTCACCTAATCAAACCCAGTCTAATGGTTTAGTAGAAAAAAGTGATAAAGACTGTCAAGCATATGCTTAGTAAGTTTGCTAGCTTCATCCAAACTGATTGGGGTGAACACTTATTCTATGTCCTAATGACATACAGTGCAACTAAACAAAGATCAACAGGTTGTCCATCAAACATGCTAAAGATTGGTTGAGAAATATTGTTCCCTGTAGACATGATGTATGGTCTCCATCTATAGTGGATGTCCCACAGTGGCCACATGAATGTAGAGTGGTTATGGTCTGTGTTAGTAAATGTACACACGTCTGTGTATAAACAGCAGAGAAAGAATACCATATAACAAAACAGTGGCTATGATAAGGCTGTACAGGAACAGATAAACCAAAGTGGAGACCAGGTGAGGTTCTGGTACATTCCTGTAGGATAGAAACCTCTTTGTTATGGCTAGACAAGATCCCCTCTTGTGATACAATGAGTTGGTCCATTAACATACAAGCTACAGCAGTCGAGGGGCATGCACAAAACAAAGTACACATCAATCAGCTGTATTCATACATGATCATAAAATCTTTAATTTAAATGAACTGGCTTTATCAAGAATCAGAAAAGGAAGTAGTCGAGTATGATTAAAAGGAAGTCACTGTTTTATACCATTCCAACCCTGAAGATTCAAGTGTAGTTATATGGGTGCTTAGGATGAGTCAAATGAAGAAGTGCTGGATTTAGAGGCGACCGTCGGTGGTGACCTCCTACTCTATATTGCTGAGATTGAATCTGAAAATAACAGCTGGGATTGCCTTGTACTTGAAATACTACTGACTAAAAGGGTGTTGCAACTCCTGTTTTCTGAAACCCCAAATGGTGAAGAGAAACATTGAGTATGTACTACACAGTGCAGTTGCAGCTCATATCAGAAGCTATGAAGGCTGGTGTCAGTACATATAGTGTATAATGCATCACCAATTTGTACACATGGATATGATAGCTAGGAGTTGTAAACTCACCTGGAAGGTGTGTTGCAACCCGCGCTTTCTGAGCAACTGGGTGGTATTGCAAGGTATAATGTACACTACACATTGTATGATTATCACTCGATTACCAGAAGTTAAGATTGTTGTTGAGTTCAGGATTAATGAGACCAAAAGAGCATTGCAACTCTTACTTTACATGCTGCAAACAAAGTTTCACTATACGAGATATCCCTAGGGTATCAAATGATAGCTGCCCAATTAACACAGTTTAGGACTGCTGATGCCAATAGGTATAATACCTAATGCATTGAGAGTTTGCACAACTGAAAATAATAGATAGGAGTTTAAAAAACAGTTAAACGGGCTTTACGCCACTTGCTTTCCAAGCTACCAGTGATTTTTGAGGCATTGATTATTCAACTGATATATATTGTGATATATTGTAAATATTGTGCAATCTTTGTTATATCTTTCTTGCTGCTATGCTTAAAGGGCTTTCTTCTATGCAGTGAGAGAGTTGTGTTTTGCTTGAGTGTATACTACAGTAACAACACGAATAATTAATCCTGATTTATGAGAATTTTAGTTGAAAAGTCTTACTTTAACTGACCTCTGTCAGTGATTATTTATGTTGTGATACTTGAGAGGAAAAGCACGACTTTGATGGCTTGCAGGTGGCAGCCCTTTACTAAACAATAGCAACTGGCTGTAGCTTCAGAAAGTAACCCAAGATGGTTATGAAGTAATATGAGCAGAGATCATAAGCAATCTGTTGAAACTATTAACGTATGTGACTATGTGTAATGGAGATAAATGTATATGGTAATACATGTGGTCCAACATTCATTTAGAAACATAATAACATGAAGTCATTCATGAGTTCTGTATGATACAAATGAATCAATTAGATAATAGATACAATTATTAAGGCCCCCCAGTGGCACAGCGGTATGTCTGCGACCCTACAACGCTAGAATTCGGGTTTCGATACCCGTGGTGGGCAGAGCACAGATAGCCCATTGTGTAGCTTTGTGCTTAACTACAAACAAACAAACAATTATTAAGTCGCAATTGTATGAAACAAAGGATTTGATCTGAATGCTAAGACTTTGTGATATGAAGATAACTATGATTGTTGACCTGTAAGGTATTATTGGAAAATACAGTGTATTTGTTGTTTTCATTAATACTTGCAAGAGGATATTTCAGTTTTAACATTTAAATATTTGGCAGGTAGCGAATTTTTACAGAAGAATAATAGTAATAGAGAGATATGCACTATATCTGAGAGAAAACACATCACTTGTTTTTCTGGTAAAAATTGTGAAAGATATTTAAATTGGATTAAACTGAAATGTTTTAATATGTGAAATGATAATTAATGTATGAAATTCACAAACAGTAGCTTAAATGTTATAACAAATATAAAATGGATGTACCCATTGTTTTATCTGATTGTGATAAATATTTTTAATCAAGCACATTGAAGTATTTAGAGAAGCACACAGTTTCCTAAATATGTTATTAACATTATTTCAGTACAAGGAACAGTGTGAGGTGTATGAAAATGCAAGCTGAAAGTGTGCTAGGGAGAGGCAGAAAGTAGCACCCAAAAATGAGTCTCTGTAAATTGAGCTATTGCTATGCTAAACTTGGAACTGAAAGAAGGTCGCCAAGAAAAGACAATCAAAATGTTAGGGAATATCAATGTTCAAAAGTGAAGATTAGAAGTTACTTAATCTGGGTCAGTGTATGAGCTGGTTTAACAGTAAGCATGCTGTCCATTGTAATTGGAATGGCAATATAGGGAATCATGGTTAAAGTGGGGCCCTAATGATGCCTGTGGACTGAGTAGTTTACAGGCGCCATAGATATGTGTTCTATGGGTAATTAAAGTATAATAACATATGAAACCCGTAGAAGTGTTGCTTGACTAAGAAATTCGCATATTAAGGCAGATTTAAAGAATATTGATTGTAACCAGATGAATGCTTATCAATCTACATTCCTGGTTGACCTTTTGACCAATTATATTTCACTGATCTTGCACTCTCAATCTGGATCTTTGATATCTAAGGTCAAGTTCTGGACCATTTCGACTAACTTGTTCGTAAGTTAGTTGGTTGGAATTCTTCTGTATTGTGTGCCAAACTCTCAATCATTAAAAACTT